TTTTTTTTTTTTTTTTTTTGGAGTCAGGGTCTCACTCTGTTGCCCAGGTTGGAATGCAACAGAAGTGAGCTGTGATTGTGGCACTGCACTTCAGCCTGGGCATCAGAGTGAGAGCTCAACTAGAGAAAGAAAAAAACAAAACAAAACATGGTACCTTGGTTGGGCACAGTGGTTTACACCTGTAATCCCAGCTCTTGGGGAGTAGAAGATGAGAGGACCGCTTGAGCCCAGGAGGGTAACATAGCAAGACTTGTCTTTACAAAAAAGTAAAAAAATTAGTTGAATGTGGTAGCACACACCTGTAGTCCCAGCTACTCAAGGCTGAGGCGGAAGAATCAGTTAAGCCCAGGAAGTCAAGGTTGCAGTGAGTTATAATCATGCTACTGCATGCCAGGCGCAGTGGCTCAAGCCTGTAATCTCAGCACTTGGGGAAGCTGAGGTGAGAGGACTGCCTGAGCCCGCAAGTTTAAGATCAGCCTGGACCAACTTGGCAAGACCTCATCTCTACATTAAATAAAAAAATCAGCTGGGCACAGTAGCACGCGCCTGTAGTTCCAGCTACTTGGAAGGCTGAGGTGGAAGGAGTGTCTGAGCCCAGCAGGTCGAGGCTGTGGTGGCTGGGAGCGTGCCACTGCCCTCCAGCCTGGGTGACAGAGTGAGACTCCAACTAAAAAAAAAAAAAAATCATGCCACTGCACTCCAGCCTGGGCAACATAGTAAGACCCCAATTCAAAAAAGAAAAACTTTAGCCGAGCATGGTAGCGTGCACCTGTAGTTCCAGCTACTTGGAAGGCTGAGGCAGAAGGATTGCTGGAGCCCAGCAGGTTGATGCTGCAGTGACCGGGAACGGCCACTGCACTCCAGTCTGGGTGACAGAGCGAGACTCCAACTCAAATAATAATAATAATAATAATAAAACATGGGAGGCTGAGGTGAGTGGATTGCCTGAGCCCACGGGTTCAAGACCCGCCCGAGCAACTTGGCGAGACCTCATCTCTACAATAAATCAAAAAATTACCCAGGCGTGGTAGCGCGCGCCTGTAGTTCCAGCTACTTGGAAGGCTGAGGCAGAAGGATCGCTGGAGCCCAGTAGGTTGAGGCTGCGGTGGCCGGGAGCGGCCATGGCATTCCAGTCTGGGCGACAGAGTGAGACTCCAACTCAAAATAAATAAATAAATAAATAAATAAAACAATTAGCTGGGCATGGTGGTGCATGTCTGTAGTCCCAGCTACTTGGAAGGCTAAGGCAGAAGGATCATTGTGAGCCCAGGAAGTCCAGGCTGTGGTGAGCCATGGTCATGCATGTCACTGTCCTCCAGCCTGGGCAACAGAGTGAGACCCTGAGAACCCGACTCAAAACAAAAAGCAAGATTAACCCACAATCCACCCCTAAACTCATCCCCGAGGTAGCTGAAATTTATAGTCTCTCAGCATGAAGCTGGCTTGCATTTAGGGACCAGGTTATCATGTTACATAAACAAACAGCATGTGTAGCTGAATTTCAGTCCCTGACTACTATCGGTCTCTTGTTATTCTTTGTTTTTTTTTTTTTGAGTTGGAGTCTCACTCTGTCACCCAGACTGGAGTGCAGTGGCTGCTCCCAGCCACCGCAGCCTTGACCTGCTAGGCTCCGGCAATCCTTCCGCCTCACCCTTCCAAGTAGCCGGAATTACAGGCATGCGCTACCATGCCCGGATGATTTTTTTTATTTATTGTAGAGATGAGGTCTCGCTGCCCAGGTGGGTCTCGAACCCGCGAGCTCAGGCAATCTACTCACCTCAGCCTCCTAAAGGCGCGGGATTACAGGCTGAGCCACCGAGCCTGGCTTTCTGTTATTCTTAAGGCCCTTTAAGAGAGAGGTTTCAACAGGGAATTGAGGACAGGAAGTAGCATTGTGACACTTGTGTGAGATGGACTCCGACTGTGCCTGGCACGTAGCAGGCCTCAATCACCACTGGCTGGCGTCCCTTGTCTGCTGGGGCAGTGACTTTTTACCAGACTCTAGGACCCCGGGTCTGAAGCCTTGGCATTGTCTCCCGTTTGTTTCCCTCTGTCTCCTTAACCCTTAAAACAAGCCTCTGCCGGGTTCGGTGGCTCAGCCTGCAATCCCAGCACTTTGGGAGGCCGAGGTGAGTGGATTGCCTGAACCCGCCAGGGCAAATTGGCAAGATCCTCGTTTCTACAATAAATCAAAAAAATTAGCTGGGCATGGTAGCGTGCACCTGTAGTTCCAGCTACTTGGAAGGCTAAGGCGGAAGGATCGCTGGAGCCCAGCGGGTCGAGGCTGCAATGGCCGGGAGTGTGCCACTGCACTGCAGTTTGGGCGACAGAGTGAAATTCCAACTCAAAAAAAAAACCAAAACACAACAAAAAACAAGCCTACAAAGACACAAAGTTTTCCCTTGTGAAATGTGCTCATCTGTGTGTGTTCTTTCTGTGCCCAAGGCCAGAAACCTGAGTTGACTCCTGTCACCTTGATCACAATTAAAGCCACAGAGTCTGGGTTTCTCCTCACTACAAGTTTTCCACTTTAGTTCATCCTGCCATCACTGCCAGATTGATCTCTTTTTTTTTTTTTTTTTGAGTTAGTCTCACTCTGTCACCCGGGCTGGAGTGCAGTGGCACACTCACGGCCACCCCAGCATCAACCTGCTGGACTCCGGCGATCCTTCTGTCTCAGCCATCCAAGTAGTGGAACTACAGGCACATGCTACCATGCCGGCTAATTTTTTATTTACTGTAGAGACAAGGTCTTGCCAAGTTGCCCAGGCTGGTCTTGAATCCGCGAACTCAGGCAATTCACTCACCTCAGCCACTGAGCTCAGCCAATCCCAGCACTTCAAGAGACCAAGATGGGAGGATGGCTTGAAGCTAGGAATTTAAGACCAGCCTGGGCAACATAGTGAGATCCCTATCTCTACAAAAAAATTTTTTAAATTAGCCTGTGTGGTGATGGGTATCTGTTGTTCCAGCTACTCAGGAGGTAGAGACAGGAAGATTACTTGAGCCCAAGAGTTCAAGGCTGCAGCATGCTATGGTCATGTCACTGTACTCCAGCCTGGGTGACAGCACAAAACCCTGTCACTAAAAAAGTAGATAACATTGCCAATTACTAGGTTTTCAAATACTGCGTAAAATGAGATCACGAATTAACACATAAGAAAAAGAGGGTGGACTAAGGCCTGAATTCAGCCCACCAAATTCTTTCTTTCTTTCTTTTTTTTTTTTTTTGAGTCAGAGTTTCACTCTGTCATCCAGGCAGGAGTGCAGTGGCACACTCACAGCCACTGCAGCCTCAACCTCTGGGCTCAGATGGCCCTTTTACCTTCGCCTTCCAAGTAGCTGGAACTACAGGTGTGTGCCACTATGCCTGGCTAATTTTTTGATTTATTGTAGAGATGAGATCTCACCAAGTTGCCCAGGCTGGTCTTGAATACAAATTCACATTTTTATTTCTCTTAATAATGGGGTGATATAGAATGCTGGAACAACATTTCCATGGGGAAAATCTTGGTTTGAGTTGAAAAGAGATTGCTCACTTCAGCAGGGACATGCTTGCTCCAGTTTGTCAGAGTTCCCACCACTCCCTATTATCCTACATGGTTGTTCCCTTGACTTACTGATGTCACCTAACTGGGCCTTAAAGTCACTGAGTTTGCCACTTCTGATTTATAGAAATATAAATAACTAGGAACCTTTTTTTTTTCTTTTCTTTTTTTTTGAGTTGGAGTCTCACTCTGTTGCCAGGCTGGAGTGCAGTGGCATGCTCATGGCACCCCAGCGTCGACCTGCTGGGCTCGTGCAATCCTTCTGCCTCAGCCTTCCAAGTAGCCAGAACTACAGACACATGCTACCATGCTTGGCTAATTTTTATTTTATTGTAGAGACGAGGTCTCACCAAGTTGCCTGGGCTGGTCTTGAACCTGCAGGCTCAGGCAATCCACTCGCCTCGGCCTCCCAAAGTGCTGGGATTACAGGCTGAGACACCAAGCCTGGCCAGGGACTTTTTTCATTATGAATAAACCAGCATCATTTGGTCAAGCTGTAGCTTTCCTTGGCTTAAAAAAGAGAACAAACTCATACTGAACTTCCTCAGTGCCCTCTGTAACATGCTCCCTTCCTGCCATCCATTCACTTCATTCATTCATTCAACACACATTTCCTGGACACCTAGTTTGTGCCAGGGACCTTGCTGGACACTGGGATACGAGATGGCCAGGACAAGTCCCATCTCCTAAGTGAGCTCCCACTTCTCTGAGCCGACCTTGTCTCAGGCTTCTGAACCACAGGGTGAAATCTGCATGGAGCTGATGTCTGCTCCATCTCCAAAACAAAGGTGAGCCAGGTGCGGTGGCTCAGCCTGTAATCCCAGCATTTTAGGAGGTCGAGGTGAGTGGATTGCCTGAGCCCATGGCCGCAGACCAGCCTGGACAACTTGGCAAGACCTTGTCTCTACAATAAATAAAAAATGAGTCGGGCATGGTAGTGCACAGCTGTAGTTCCGGCTGCTTGGAAGGCTGAAGTGGAAGGATCGCCAGAGCCCAGCAGGTCGACACTGGGATGGCCGTGGCAACAGAGTGACACCAACTCAAAAAAAAAAAAAAAAAAAAAAAGAGAGAGAGAGAAAGAGATAAGTTGGAAGAAGTTGGCAAACTCCTTCCCCACTCTGGGTTTGATTTCTTCTCTGTAAAACACAGTTGACAGGCAGGGCTCTGGAGTCAGACTGCCCAGGGCCAAATGGCTTTGGGCAAGCCCCTTTGCCCCTCTGAGCTTGTTTCCTTATCTAGAGGTTTAGGATAAGATTTCCTTCCTCTCACAGGGTACTTTTGGGACTTGAGTTATATTGTCCATATGAAGGACTTAACAAAGTGCCTGCATACAGTAAGTACTACTTAGGTTTAACTAGTTATTAGTGTAGGACACTTTGCACCCAGTCCCTGATCCTCCTGGAGTTGTCCCTAGCTGTTTTAGTTGTCCCTCCTCCAGACTCCCTCTCCCTTCACCCTCAGTCGTGTGACTGCGCACTATCTCGGGTACCGTTTGGCGGGTCTGGGGGCCAGACCCTTATCTCTCGCTGCCCTGTGTCAGTGCCCGAAACCTCCTAGCTCCTGCACACCTCAATCAGTGTGTCAGCTCTAGATCAGCAGTCATGGATCAGCCATGGCTGCAAAGGCCCTTAGGAGAGTGGCTGAGATGAGGCCAGCCTCCAAGTGGAGGAGCCAGGACCAGCCCAGGGCAGGGTAAAGGGCTTGGCTGCTCTTGGGCTCAGCATCAACTCTGCTTCTAGGGAGCCCAGAATAGGCCTCCTTCCCCTGGGCTCGATTCTTCTCTGGAAAATCAGACAGACTGAACCTCTGGTTGTTCGTTTCTGTCCAACAGGCCCTCCACGCCCTTCAGGAGGAGCAGGCCAAACTAAAGACCAGGCTGCAGGAGCTGCAGCAGCTAAGAAAGGAGCTCAGGGACACCCCACAAAACAATGTAAGGAGGGAGACTGGGTGTGGTCTGGTGGAAAAAGCCTGGGGGTTCTGAGTTTTACTCTTGGCTCTGGCATTTCCTTGCTGTGTGACCTTGAGTATGTGACTTGAACTCTCTGAACCTGTTATCTCATCTGGAGAGTGGAGTTACCTACCTCCCAGAATTGTGGGAGGTAAGGTCTTGTGTGTGGTCAGCGTGGACCTTACCCACATTCTTCCAGCTCTTCCTCCAGTGGACACACTCAGCATCAACTGAATGGCATCGGGGCACCCTGCTCCTGCCCTTAAGGACTGCGCAGCCTCTCTTCCCCCACCTGCAGGTCCCGTTCCCAATGCCCGAGCTTCCCCTGGTATTCCGAGGACACACACGGCAGGGCAGGGAAGAGCCCAAGTCTGTGGTTTCCAACCTGCAAATCTGCTGCCCTCTGCCCGGAGGCTCCGCTCTGGTCACCTTCGATGATCCCAAAGGTGAGCTGGGGAGAGTCTCAGGCAGGAGGGAGGTGGAAGGCTTCTTGGCCTGACCCTGTTCCCCACCCAGTGGCTGAGCAGGTGCTGCAGCAGAGGGAGCACACGATTGACCTGGAAGAGTGCCGGCTGCGGGTGCAGGTCCAGCCCTTGGAGCTGCCCATGGTCACCACCATCAAGGTGATGGGACACCAGAGGCCTGGCACATGCGGGAGGGTGCATGTACCTGGGCGCAGGAGAGTGGAGCTGTGCTGGGACTGCCCCCTACTGTCCCCCTGCAGGTGTCCAGCCAGCCAAGCAGCCACAGGGTGTTGGTCAGCGGGTTTCCTGCCAGCCTCAGGCTGGGTGAGGAGGAGCTGCTGGACAAGCTGGAGATCTTCTTTGGCAAGACCAGGAATGGGGGTGGCGACGTAGAGGTCAGGGAGCTGCTGCAAGGAAGTGTCATGCTGGGCTTCGCTAGGCATGGAGGTAAGTGCTTCCTGCAGGGGAGACTGGGGTACAGGGTGCAGGAGCATCCCCCCAAGATAGGGGAGGGCTTGGTGCCAAAGGGCCACTCTTCCTGTTTCCCACAGTGGCCCAGAACCTGTGCCAGATCAGTCAGTTCCAAGTGCCCCTGGGCAGGCAGCAGGTCCCTCTGAGAGTCTATCCCTACATGAGTGGTGAGATCCAGAAGGCTGAGGTGAGTGGGAGAGTGGAGAACTGGGGCTGGGCTGGGTAACCCAAGCCCCCAAACCCCAGTGAACTACCCCCCCGCCAGCCTCCCCAGGCCTCCCAGCCCCTCTGAAACTCCCACGGGACACTGCCTGCCCCGATCTACGCCCCTGGGCCCTCACTTCTATGAGCCCTTGCCACCTCCCAGCTCCTTCCCCAGATCAAGGCCCAGCCAGTGCCCCGTTCGGTGCTGGTGCTCAACATTCCCGATGTCCTGGATGGCCCAGAGCTGCACGATGTCCTGGAGATCCATTTCCAGAAGCCGACCCGTGGGGGCGGGGAGGTGCAGGCCCTGACAGTCATGCCCCCAGGACAGCAGGGCCTGGCCATCTTCACCTCTGAGTCGAGCTAGGGGCCGAGGTTCTGACCCTGGGTGGGGGTTGGGGGCACAAGCGCAAGGTCTTTCTCTCCACCAACAGGGGATGGGGATTACACAGGACAAATGCCCCCAACAATAAAAGTGCCTGCTTGGAATTATGTTCTTCCTCATCTCATTCACGAAAGGAACATGGCAAGAGCCCAGGGAGGGAAGAAGTCCTGACTGCTGCTCGCAGCGCTGGCCTTCCTGGAGCTCACCTTCCCCTCCACCCTCAGAGGCAACACCCAGGACCTGGGGTTTGGCTTTTTATTGACACAAACACAAAGGCAGCTGCGGTAACGGGTGGGGTGGGGTCCACAAAAGCAGAAATCGCACTTCCCGCGTCGAGGCCTCAAGTAGACAGTGAAGAGGCTGAGCCCGTCCCCCACTTCCCATGGCAATGGCTGGGCCGGTGACCCTCCCTAATCCCAGTTGGGGGAGTGACCCCCCCCCAGGAAGTCCCCATTTGGTCCCAGTGGCCCAAGTTTTGACCACCCCCCCGTATTCCCCTTCTTTAGGCCCCTGTCCATGTAAACAAAGTCTGGGGCTGAGTGTGAAGAGCTGTCTCCCCGAGAAGGCAGCAGGGCCTCCCTTGACTGCAAGGGGGATGTGCTTTGATTTTCACTTTGGTCCCAGAACAAGAAACAGACAATGGTGCCTCTAGAGCTCCAGCTAGTAAATGCCACAGGGGAGATAGTGAGGCTGAGGAAGCTTCCCTCCTCCCGTCTCCTCGGCCATGGGAGACAGGACATGGCACAGACCACAGTGCGGCTGCCTGCTTTTGCCCTGCCCCCAGGAGCCTCGAGGCGGGCCCCCACCCACTGGCACACACAGACATTTGGCAGTGTTCTAGGACTGGGGGAGAGTGAAACCCCAGCTCCACCAGAACAAGGAAGGCACTGGGGAGCACAGGGGTGGAGGAGGCGGGAGGCGGAACCCACCTCCCCCTGCCTCACAAACGCACAAGCACAAGCACAAGCACAGGTTTCCGTTGCTAAGGCACTGAGAACAAATCCAGAGAACTCAGTGAAGGAGGGGCGCTGATCCCTCCAGAGTGGCAACTAGGGGAGGAGGTCTGATTCCCACCCTTGTGGTAAGAGGCAGCCTTGGTTAAGATAGGCAGAAAACCTGGAGGTGGAAGAAGCCCAATTGTGCTTAAGAAGTTGGGGACAGAGGACAAGGTCAAGGCTGGGTCAAGCCCAGAGGTGGGCGCTGGTCGGCCCGGGCTGAAAGGACACCAGGGAGAGACGGGTACATGCTGGACTCACAGTTGGCCCCGTATCCTGAGCTGACGTTTCAATTCTTTGGGGAGGCGGTGGGACAGTGGCGGGAGGGAAGATGAGGCAGAGGAGGGAGCACACAGAACACAACAGGGAGGGACTGGCTAACCTTGGCACAAAAGCAGCACAGCAGGCCCAGAGAAGGGGGGACAGGAAGCAGCCGGCCTTCCTCAGACCCTCCCTGTCCCCTTGGTAGGGCCGACATCCAAGTGGTCACTTCCCAACCTCTTCCGAGGGCAGGAAGGGGGAAGGCAGGGGGTGGTCACCACCCCAAGACCTTGGGGGGAGGGAGGACAGAGCGTTGTAACAGCTGGAACGCACAAGTCTGGCGGTCAGCAGAGCGCGGCTTCCCAACTCCTCCCTCCCTCGGTCTCGAGGGTCCCACAGCCCCTAGCTCTAGTTCTCCTTCTCTGGCCCAGGAACCAGGAGAACCTTGCCCACGTTCTTCTTCTCGTGCATCTGCTTCATGGCATCAGCCACCTGGGGAAGAGGAAAAGCTGCTGCTCCCAGGGCTGTCTCATTCCTTGCCCCATCCAACGACAGCCAATGGGCGCATGAGCCCTCCTCGTCCCCAGGAGTCCTCCCCGGGCACCCCCTGCAGTCACCACACTCACCTTCTCGAAGGGCCAGACCGAGTCAATGTGGGGTTTGATGTGGCCCTGGTTGTACAGAGCCAGGAGTCGGGCCACCACACTGCTGACCAGCTCCACCTCACCCTCCAGGTAGCCCAGGTGGAAGCCACACACGGCACGGTTGGCCTGCAGAAGCTGCAGCGCTGTCACACTGAACTGATTCCACCACGTGCGGGCCAGGGCCATCAGGTTCCGCTTGGGACCCGTCAGCAGGTTGGCCATTCCTGTGGGATGAGGTGACACAACCTATGAATCTAGGTGCAAGGCACATCTTCATGTATCTGAACCCGTGCTTGTCTGTCTGCTAGGATTCCCTCACGATTATCCACGCCGGCATCAAGGAGTGATAGCCTGGATAACTCCCAATGTGCTGGTTACCAGGCCCAGGCCAGCTCAGTTGACTTTTTATTTTTGTTTTATTTTTTGAGTTGGAGTCTCACTCTGTCACCCAGACTGGAGTGCAGTGGCTGCTCCTGGCCACCGCAGCCTTGACCTGCCGGGCTCTGGTGATCC